CGTAAAACGTGTGAAACTCCATTGTAAAATTGAGTATTTCAGCGGCTCACATGTTTTCCTTTTGAGGTCATCTACAGCGCTCGTCCTCATGTGAATGCTCATCATCAGTGATTCCATGATATTATAATTTTATTTAATTTCTATTCATAAAAATATTTCAAATATATTTTGATAATTCCTTTTCAATATTTTATTTTTTTTCATATTCTCGGAAAAAAATCCTACAGGGAATTTTTATCGTAAAATTTTCGAGGTATTTTCAACTGTGACTGAAATCCCAAGAATATGAAGTGAAATGACATTATTTTTATTAATAATAATGTGATCAGTTGCGCTACTTTATAATAGTATTATTACTCTCATAATACTACTGGAGTTTCATCTGTGATATGAAAAACACTAGTGAAAGACACATTATTTCACAGTTCACTTCGCGAAAAACAAAATGTTAGTGTTGCCGGTCGCGTAAGCATATACGTCCTATCATTCACATGGAGTATTACGCCACTTCACGTTAAATGGGTGAAACTTCAATAATGAGGTTAGGATTGCAACCGAAATTTTCACAACTATCTTTACTACGTAGGTCAAAATGATCGAATACTCCTCAGCCATTGCTTTTCCATAGACTAAAGTCAGATCCATCTTAGTTGCTCAACAGTGGTAGGGCATAGACAGTCTTCGCTCACTCCATATTATGATGAGTGCTGAATGTGGGATGGACCACGCTCTCCGCTGAGCTCCTCCTCCAACTCGCATTCCAACACCCACCACTGTTGAGCAACTAAGCATGATTGATTAAACTCCATTATTAGTATTGTATAATAATTAGAATGCATTTCCCACAAAATTTCCCATTGTATCGGTCAACGACGTTAGAATATTTTTCATCAATTCCTCAGGCTGCGGAATCGATCATTGGCGACCTCGCCAGATTACGCGCGACCGCCAGAGTTGAAGTTCCCGAGCCTCCTAGCACTACAGAGACTGTTACTGACCAACCACAGCAAGGTGCAATCATAACTGTTGAGAAACCACACCCTGAGGAAAAGGATGTTGTTGAAGACCCAGTAGAGATGATGCTAAGTAGGGCGAGAGAAGCTCTGATGGCTGACAAGCTGGAGAGGAAGATCGATCGGTACTGTAGGCCATCTCGGGTGTGGGTCGATAAACGGTGATTTAGCACGCGGAATCGGGTTCTTTGTTATCTTCATGAGGAATATATTGGAGTTTCGCAACCCGTTTTACGTGAAGTGGCGTAATACTCGGTGATATGCAGTAGTCGTGAAATATACTTTTGATATCACTAGGGTGAAACTTGGTTTATGTCTATTATAAAAATTTATACTAGGCATAAATCAAGTCGTGAATACATTCAATGGAGTTTCACAACCCTAGTGATATGAAAAATATATTTCACGACTATTATAAAATTTATAATGATATCATGATGCATTCGATGCATTGATAATATAAATAAATGCATCAGAACAACATGCATGAATTACCCTTATATACGGTCGCTATAGCCACTTCGAAACCTCA